GTTTAAAATAATTTGTTTAACATATGTTATCAATAATAATTAAGCAATGACATTGGATTGTAAACAGTTATAGAATAAAGAGAAACAACTTGAATGTTAAAAAATACTTTTTACTTTTTATAAAATTAAACATGGCGCAGTCGGTAAAGATTTGATTAAGAATAATATCAGAAGAATATACACAGAAATGCAATTTAACAAACCGGATATCCTAAGCCTTGAAGGTAACTTGGAGGAAAATTTTAGGACATTTAAAGAAGAAGTGGAGATATATTTTATAGCCACTGAAACCGAAAAGAAACCTAACTCTATGCAAGCAGCAAGGCTTAAAAACCTACTAGGAAAAGAAGCATTGAAAATTTATAAAGATTTCAAACAAGATGAACCAGAAACAGTAAAAACGATATTAGAGACACTAGAGAAGTATTGCACGCCAAGAAGGAATGAAATCATGGATATTTATAAGTTTTTCAAAAGAAAGCAGCAACAAGATGAACCATTTAATAAATTCTATTCAGACCTAAAAAATTTAGTCAAACCATGTAAATTTGAGGAACAAGAGGAAAAACTGTTGAGAGCTCAGATAATACTGGGATTAAGTTCAAAAAATGTCCAAGAAAAACTTTTGAGAGAAGATCTAAAATTGGAAAAGGTAATTGAAACCTGCAAAACGATGGAGTTAACCGAACAAAATATGAATGAAATCAATGAGAAGAAAGAAGTACTTCAAATTACAAATATTCATGATGAGAAGAAAGAAGTTCATCAAGTAACTAACACCTTTGCTGGGACACGTAAGTTGGAGGAGAGGAATATGGACCAAACAGGTAAAAGATGTTTTAAATGTTACAGATGTGGTGGTAGTCATGGAAAACAACAATGTCCAGCTTGGGGTAAAATCTGTAGTAAATGCAAAAAGTCAAATCATTTTGCAAGTATGTGTAGGACAAACTTAAATATTCTTTCTAATGAGAAATGTAACGAAGTAACTGATCAAAGTAGTAGTTCTTTTGTGCCTAATTGCCAAGGCTATGAGATTAACACAGTTTGTGTAGTTGATTCCATTGGTAATCAAGAAAAAGCTTGGTATAAAAGTGTTAAAGTTGAAGAGTTCAATGTAAGAATGAAACTTGATACTGGGTCTGAAGTAGACATTGTCCCATATTCCTTTGTAAAACTAAATAAACTACAAAATAGGATGAAGAAAAACCTAAACAAACTAATTTCATTCGGGGGGTTTCAAATAAATCCAGTAGGATACATAGATGCACAGATTGAGACAGAAAATAAAATGGATGTTGTAAAGCTAGTAGTGGTCAGTGGAGAATGTACTCCAATCCTAGGGCTGAAATCTTGTCTAAGTTTAAATTTAATAAAGAAGGTAGATACTGTTGCTAATGGTTTATCAGTAAAAGAAGATGAAGAAAAATTAAAAATTTATAACAATTATAAAGATGTTTTTGATGGTGTGGATTGTTTCCCTGACATTTGTAAGATAAAATTAAAGGAAGATGCAGTACCACAAGTAAGTTCTGCTAGAAGAATACCATACAAAATTAAAGATAAATTTGAAAAGGCATTAAATTCGCTGGTTGACAATGAAATTATTAAGCAAGTTGAAGAGCCGGTTGAATGGGTCAATAATATTGTAGTACTAGAAAAGCCAAATGGATCTTTACGAATCTGTATTGATCCTACACAACTTAATAAATATATCATAAGAGAGAGGTATTCAATTCCTTTGCTAGAGGACTTGGCTCCAAACTTAAGTAATAAGAAATACTTTACAATTTTAGATTTGAAAGACGGGTTTTATCATATAAAACTAGATGAAGAATCCAGTAAAATGTGTTCATTCAGCACAATCTTTGGAACTTACAGATTTTTGAGGGCACCTTTTGGCCTCTCTTGTGTACCTGAAATATTTCAAAGATTAGTACACAAATATTTCAAAGATATTAAAGGTCTTTCAATCTATTTCGATGATTTGTGCATTGCTACTGATACTAAAGAGGAAAATGATAAAATTATAAAGCAGGTAATGAAAAGAGCAAAACGGTATAATATTAGATTTAACTATAGTAAAATGCAATACTGTGTTAATAAGGTAAAGTATATTGGTGCTGTATTCAGTGAACAAGGGATGCAACCGGATCCTTCAAAAATAGAAGCAATAAAGAATTTTAAAACTCCTACATCTAAGGTAGAATTACAAAGATTTTTAGGTATGGTAAATTACATCAGAAATTTCGTCCCTAATTTGGCTTCAATAGCATCACCTCTTAGAGATTTACTAAAAAAGAATGTTCCCTGGCAATAGTATGAACATCATTCTAATGCTCTTGAAAAAATCAAACAATCACTCTGTAGTAATCAGGTCTTAGGGAATTTTGATCCATCTCTTCCTATTGAAATACAATGTGATGCTTCACAGGATTCTGTAGGGTGTTGTTGCATGCAAAATGGCAGGCCTGTTAGTTACTTTTCTAGAAGTCTGACCACAGCAGAAGTTAATTATGCTCAAATTGAAAAAGAATTATTAGCTATTTGTTTTTCGTGCAAGAAATACCACAACTATATATATGGAAATGAAAATGTAACAATTTTTTCTGACCATTTACCTCTGTTGTCAATTTTTAATAAGCCATTGTTTAAAATTGTCAATAACAGAATAAGAAGACTCAGACTTAAATTGATGATATACAGTTTTAAACTAAAATATTTGCCAGGAAAAAACATGCATATTGCAGATTTTTTATCTCGGAATGGTATTAAAGATGAGGTTGAATGGCATGAACCCTTAGATGGTATTGTGCATTGTATTGAATCTTCTGAAGTGAAGTTTAGTGATAGAAGACTCGAGGAATTTAAAGAGGAAACAAGAAATGATGATGTTTTAAACAAAGTTATACATTTATTCATTATTTTGCCTCCTGAACTGTTATTCAAAGTATTATCTAGGTTACGTACCTTATACAGTCAAAACAGTTCTGATACAGTCACTAAAGGACGATGCGCATTTCAGAGCTTTTAAGCTCTATCTTCAGGTCCGTGGATACATTTGTCAATTATTCATCTTGCAGATTCGTCAAAATATTTAAAACATTAAAACACATAACACAAACACATAATTCATTACGTTTATACAGGTACTGTACATGTGCCGGCCGGCTATAGATCCACCAGGATCTAGAATTGTTTCCTGGTGGATCTATAGCCGGCCGGCACATGTACAGTACCTGTATAAACGTAATGAATTATGTGTTTGTGTTATGTGTTTTAATGTTTTAAATATTTTGACGAATCTGCAAGATGAATAATTGACAAATGTATCCACGGACCTGAAGATAGAGCTTAAAAGCTCTGAAATGCGCATCGTCCTTTAGTGACTGTATCAGAACTGTTTTGACTGTATAAGGTACGTAACCTAGATAATAAAGTTATACAATTTAGTAAAACCCAATGGCCAAAATCTGTTAATGATGGTGATCTAAAGACTTATTTCAATATGAGAAATGATGTAACTCATCAAGATGGATTACTCTATTTGAATGACAAACTTATAATACCAAGTAAACTGAGGAAATTTATGCTGTCACACCTGCATGAGACTCATCTGGGAACAACTAAAATATTGAAAACTGCCAATTTATTTTTTTACTGGCCAGGAATGTCATCAGACATAAGAAATACAGTATCTCAATGTTCTATATGTATGAAACACCAACGTTCAAAATTGAATGAACCTTTAAAAGTTCACAGTGTTCCTCAAATACCCTTCATCAAGATTGGAGCTGATATTGCTGAATATGCAGGTAAATACTATCTTGTAACTGTTGACTTTTATTCACGTTGGATTGATGTATTTAAGTTGAACAGTAAAAACAGTAATACAATAATTGGTAAATTCAAAGAGCTATTTAGTCGAAATGGGATCCCTATGTATTTGGTGGCTGATAATCAACCATTTAATAGCTATGAAATGAAACAGTTTTCTATAAATTGGAATTTTACAATAATCACATCAAGTCCTCACTATCCAAAAAGTAATGGACTAGCAGAAAAGGCTGTAGGAATTGTAAAGAAAATGTTACAGAAGAGTGCTGAAAGTAAACAGGATTTTGAACTCTTCTTATTAAATTATAGAAACTCACCTGTTGCAAACCTGGACTATTCACCTTCTCAGCTTTTAAACAGCAGACACATAAGATCAAAACTACCTAGACCAAACAGTTATTTACAGCCTAAAACAGTTTCTTTTGAGGTACATGAAAGTATAAATGAAAGCAAAAGGTATCAAGAACAAATGTATAACAGATCAGCCTTGAAAAAAGAAGATGAATTCCAAGTTGGAGAAGAGGTTTTAGTACAGGATATTAAAACCAAATTTTGGAATCCTGGTGTGATTTTTAAAAAATTACCGGAACCTCGTTCTTATTTGGTAAAATTAGAAAGTAATATTGTTTTAAGAAGAAACACACACCATATAAGAAAAATTAAATCTATGTTAAAAAAGAAGGACAGTCAAGACGGCTAAAAAAGGGAGATGTTTGTATATTACTTACTTAAAAGTCTTTGTTTAAAATAATTTGTTTAACATATGTTGTCAATAATAATTAAGCAATGACATTGGATTGTAAACAGTTATAGAATAAAGAGAAACAACTTGAATGTTAAAAAATACTTTTTACTTTTTATAAAATTAAACAAGTATGTTCAAAAGGAAGGTACACCCAACATCTGTACCAAATTCCCCGCTTGTGCTAATTTTTTTTGGGTCAAACAAAACATATTTTTATTGTACTATACCTACTTTTTTGAGAAGTATAAGAAAAAGTCTATACAAATATCCTAAATACATATAAAATACATAATTATGTATACATATATTTTTCAGCTATAAAATCCTATAAAACATTATAGAAAATAATTAAAAATATTTTTTTTTACATTTCAGTGATAGGTACTGGTTTTTTTGTAAATAAATAAGATGGTGCAAATGGATTAAATGAAAAATATAATTCTACCAGACAAGGAATTAACATGTAATAATAATTACTTTTTAACCAGTCATAGGCTGATTGTTATTTGCTACAGTAAATTAAATTCCAAATTAATTGAATCATCGCCAATAATAATTGAAGATCTTTACGTAAATCGTGACATGTTGGGCAATAAATAGCCTACCAACCAACAGATATGCTATAACTTATTAGTTAGCTGTTTTTCTTAGTTAGTAAATCTATGATAGAATCAAGTTTTTTATTTTGTCTTATTTCCAGTTCTTTTATATTATTTACAAATTTGTCAAGCTTGCTCTCTAGATCTGAGAAGCGCTTGTCAATGTACATTTTTAATAACCTACATTCACTTGAACACAGGTTTTTATCCAAACTGATATCAGCTCCGCCTTCAGAATTAGTTCCTCCACTAACTTGAACATGACATGTATCAGAGCTTCCTTGATGACTGGAAGGTTCGCAGACAGAAAAGTATTTTGACATATTTCTACCTATTTCACTTTGGGGATTGCGATACACTGTCTCAAACCTCTTCATTAAAATGTTTGATAAAGTCAATTTGTCAATGGGAAATGGTTGGTTGTGATTTTTAGTGCTAAAATGAGTTTGTAGAAAGTTCTTGCACTTTTCTGCATTCTCCGAAAGGGGGGTGTCTTTCAGCATATCGTCCACAGCCTGGAAGTTGATGCTTGATAGAGGAGAAAGAGCAATGTTTTCGGGGCTGATTGTCAGGTTTATTCCATACAACCACAGACTGGCTGGGCGTTTAGCCTTCTGAAACTATGAAATAAAGAGTTTATATTTAGATTAGAGGTTGATTCACCTTAATTTTGTCTTGTAACACCTTTAACCCTGGAGTGCGCGCACCTACCGTCAAAACACGAGAGCGTGCGTGGGGTAATTTTTTTACCCCATTGTGTTTTATTAGGATTTTAGTGATAAAACAACATAATACTTGATTAAAATATATTTAAACTTTGAGTTGAAATCTTACACACAAATAAATGACATTTTAAACCTTTAATTGTTTTTAAAAATCTGGTTTCCACACGTCCTCACAAGTTTCCACAAGATGGTCCTTACAAATACTTTTTCCACAATTGTTGCAGATTTTGGAAATCACATCTTTAATTTTTTCTTGCTAATTGTATATTTTCTCTCTGTGGATAACCTAATGCAAGTTTCATTCTGGCCTTCAAGTCGCGAGGTAGCTTTACTATTTTACTTCTGGATTGCAGATAAGGCATCGACAATTCCTCCTATGCACGAATAATACTCACGGACAACTTCAAACTAATACATAATTAGTAATTAGCCCAATTCACGAACTATAGGCGTAGTGATTCACAAATGAATGTATAGCGTGAGCGCGCGAGTGGGGTAAAAAGTCTCCAACACAATGTAGCGTCTTGTTTACGCGACCGCCAAGGACACACTACTGTTTATTGGCGCCTCCAAACCAAGGTCAGACAGTAGACGAGTCGACTTGAAGGTATTGAGGCGGGGGACGCTATAGAGAAGCTCGTTACGTGTTGGCTGCAGTTTGAAAATAGACCTGGAGAAAAACTACCCTGTGTGCGCTCTCTAGGGTTAAGGGTGGATGACAATCGTTTTGGTACCTATGTTGCCTTCTTCAGATCCTTGTCAAGAATATAAAATTTTACTCTTATTAATACTTAAATAATACTTTTAGCTGAAATGGTGAAATGGTAGCTGAAATACCGTGCTGGCCAGCCTTTAAAGTTTTAACCAGTTTTATTACTTAATAGCGAATTTCCCTATAGGGGAAGTAGCTATTACCGTAGATCTCATGGTAAGACCTAGGCCCGGGACCGATTTACTTTTTCATTTTGATGTCCCCAGAGGCCAAAAACACCATTCGTTCAAATTTTTATATATGTATATATATATATATCTGTGTGTGTGTGTCCGTAAACGTGATAACTTGAGTAATTTTTGTCCGATTTTGATTAAATTCGGTTTAAAGGTGTAAGGCGGGATAAACTTGAATGAGTTCGCGAATCAACATGATCGGACCATGGGAATGGGATTTACGGGGTAAAAATGGATTTTTCTTATTTTTGATCCTCAAAACTTATAATTTCTCAATTTCTGTCAAGACCTTTTTAAAGAGCTTAAAAAATAATAATTTAGTATACCAAAGTGTTTTGTATGATAACGGAGAAAATTCAAAAAGTTGTAAATTTAATATTCCCATGTTATTCTTTTGGAGAATATTGTAAAATGTAGTTTACTTGTAAATGGATATATTTTGATCGAACTTGGCAATTTTATTTATTTTATATTAAGCTATTAACATTTTACTAAAAAACACGGTTTATTAGTTTCCTTGTAGCAGCAAACATAGGTACTCGTTAAACCTAACGTTATTTAGATAGATTTAATTGAAAATCAATTCAGACAAATGGAAATTCGCTTGGTCAGCAGGTTTGCTGCAGCTGGGGATATAATTTTGATGTCCCCAGAGGTTAAAAACACTATTCGTTCAAATTGTTATATATATGTATATATATTATATATTAGCAGTTACCTGGCGCAGCAACGCACTCTGTGGAACCATTGTGGCACTATTTCAAATCATGACTAATACAGCATCTTGTGATTATTACAACCTACAAAACAGTTGCCAGTGTTAACTACTTACTCAATTTTAATTAAAAATATAATTTCTTTACTTTACCATTCCTGAAACCATGAAACTTATTTCAATTCATATTTCTCAAGCTTCCTGAACTTTGTAATTCAACCTGTTATTTCCTTTTTTCAATACTCAATCTCTGTAGCTGTCTTTCTTAATCATCATTTCCTGTTTACTGTACTTTTCCAATGATCAGACAGTCTGGGCTTGTTCCCAAAAGTAAGTGCAAGCTACGCATCCATTTTCCTGTGACGGAGACAGAGAATATGCCAATAAACTTCTGGAAGCATCGACACAAGTGCAAATCACGTGGACTCCCAAAAACCAATCCGCTGTAAGAAGACCCTGGCTGTATGACGTATCACCACCCGATTGGCGGAGAGGTTCCGGATCCTTTTACGACCCCCTAAATTATCTGCGAAAGAGATGGACAGTCTCCTAGAATTCGGCTTAGCGTGAGTTAGAGTCCAGTCTCCAAAATCGTTAAATGTTTCGTTGAAGTGTCGCGCGAGTTGATATCGTCAATATGCGTGATTCGATCAACTCGATATCACGGACGATCAGTTAATATAAAATATCAGAAATGACAAAAATAAATGTGAACAAAATCCATCTTCTTTATTTTATTCCACACAACAACACACTAAACTATTTACTGGTTTTTTAAACAAAACAATTGAAAAACATATGACTGTTTATATACAGCCTTTTGGCAAACTTATATGAAATATATTGAGGGGTTTTCTTTATCAATGATTAATCATGGTACGTCAATCATCCCCCCCAAAAACCCTCAATATATATTTCAAATCTTCCCCTTTCTAGACCTTAAGTTATACCCAGGTGAAGCATCGTTATGGTCTTCTGCTTCTTGCTCTTCGAATTCTCTTCGGCTTGTCGATTCATATGTTTGATTTGTTTTACATTTTCTTCATACCATGCAGTCAAATTTATAGTTTCAGGAGACTTTTCATGCATCCAGTTCTTTTTATTTCCCGACCAAGAAAGAGTGGCCGACGTCCTCTCATGCTTGTACTAGCTTTTTGGTTGTTAGCCTTGGTACAGGCACAGATAGTGCAGGATTGGACGTAGTTCTTGATGTCCCGATGCATGTGATATCTGTGTATAGGGCCGTGACTCTGTTGCCCTGATCCCACTGTCCGGTCTGAAATACGTGACATCCCTTCCCGACTTGATTGACTTTGTGTTTCCTGCTTGTGACCTACACCACACAGACATAATTGCTGGCAGGTCCATTCTTTCAACCATGAACGCCAATGTCCAGCAGATCAATAACACCATCCTCAACCTGATGGATGGCGTCGTTCATGAGTTGAGGAGTGCGGATTCTGTAGACAAGGAGAACGACGATGGTATGGATGTAGACGTTCACTTGTTGAACCAAGCTACTGGCAAGGGTGTGCCAGACCATGTCCTGCGACTCAAGATTGGCTCCGTGTGTCTCGTCATGAGGAACTTGAACATTGACAGCGGACTCGTAAACGGCACTAAAGTGATCGTGACAGCAATAAGACCTCGTCTGATCACAGTGCGACTCCCTGGACAACATGATCCGATTTGTATTCCCCGGATACAATTCGTTTTCCCGTTCGTCGAGGGGTCACCGCTTCGTGTCCGCCGTCTTCAGTTCCCTCTCATGCTGGCATATTCCATGACTGGCCATAAAAGCCAGGGCCAGACGATTGATCGCGTTGGAGTCGATCTTCGCAGTGACTGTTTCACCCATGGTCAGTTGTACGTCCTTCTCAGTAGGGTCAGACATCCAGACCATATAGTCGTCCTTGTCCGTCCCGACCGTGTCCAAGGTGGAATCGCATACGCGAAAAATATCGTGTATGACGATCTCCTCCTGTAACCATGACTTGACTTTAGCTTTAGGTTGTTGTATATATTCCCTTTAAGTTTTTTCTTTAGAAATAAGTCGTTTTTTGTGTGTTTTTAGTATTCTAGTTTGGCAGTACGATAGGGGGCCTGCCTTATCAAAAGTCCCCGTTGTTGTATATATTTTTCTTCTTCTTTTTATTAGTTAGTTAAGTTGTTGTTCATGTTTCTTTAGGTAGTTAGTGAAGTTTACTGACTTGTCCATTTGTAAATATTTGTAAATATGGTTCCGACGTTTCCTGGCCTCCTCGTGGCGGAACTGGATATGCCATAAAGTTTGTGCCAGGCTTTGAGGTGCACGCTGTCATAAGCACCGACGAGACAGTGTACGAGCCCCGCAAGCTTTCCGTTTGGAAAGTTGGATCCGGACGACCCACTTCTATCAACCTTTTCAGTCCTCTCATGGAGCCCTTCCAATACCCTCTGCTCTATCCTCAAGGCACTTTGGGCTGGCATATTGGACGCCGCGACAATTTTAACAATAAGTTGTCCCAGTATGACTACTCCCGTTGTCTTCTGCTGTCTGAGCCTCGTTTCTCACACCTCGGCCGACTGTCTCAAGCTTGGCAGGTCGAAATGCCATGTCGGCCGATACTGTATCTTGTATCTTGTATCTTGTACTGAAGATCGGGTAGTGGTGTAAATGGGAGGGGTCCCCTTCCTTCTGGCTATTGATGGCGGGTTTGCCTGTCAGGGATTAGATAGGTCCCGAGTGTTGCTTGCACTAAATGCGTCGGGGCGCTCTACTATGGTCCTCTAGGTCCCGACCTAGTGGAACCCAGGTGGAGTGACGCTTAAACAAGTAGCCGGAAACCCTGGTTAGGATTGAGGGGCAACCCTCTTTCCGAAGGGTCTGCTTCGGCAGCCGGTGAGCCTGATGACCTTAAGTCATCCGCCCATGATGTGCAAAAGGTTGATGCGTAAGCTTCGGCCTACATCATGGGGCCCGGGTAAGTCTCACGATAGGTACCGGGTATGTAGTCAGGGGGCTTCGGCTCTCATGACAAATATTGAAATTGAAATTGAATTGAATTGAATTGTCCCGATGCATGATGACCTTGGTCACCTCTGGTTTCCCAGCAACTGGGTAAGGCCTCGATCGGGTAGTGGTGTAAATAGGTAATTGGGGTTCCCCCCATCAGCTTGCTGGTGGTCCCCTTCTTCCTGGCTTTGATGGCGGGCTCTGCCTGTCAGGGATTGGATAGGTCCCGAGTGTTGC